TTTTCAAATATTTCATGTTTTTGTTTTTTTTTTTTTTTTTTTTTTTTTTTTTTTTTTTTTTTCCTTCCTCAAACTGTGTCTGTGGTAGCTTTGGACCTTTTATCACCATTTTTGTTTGCTTTGTAAGAAGCTAGTGTATTTTTAGCAAATTTATCATTATGTCAATACTTGAGTGGAATAAAATTAGGTCAAGAATTTTAACTGTGTAGAATCACAGTTGATTTCCACTGTGTAGAACTGTACTAATTTTTCATATTTGTCACTGTAATTAATTTTGAGAATACTAAGTACATATCGGAGAGCATGGATTAGTCTGGCTTTAATGGTTGATAGGGTGTGACTCCTGATAAGCTTTTGATTCTTTGTAAAAGATTCTTTTTGCAACATCACAATCATATAATATGGATTCCCATTGGTATATTAAACCAGTTACCCCTCTGATACATGATACCAATGACAACTATTACTTAACAGAAACCTTAGCCCTCCTCATTACTTATCAGCAATAAAAATGTCTAAATTCCTGAATCATTGTTTTCAGTATTGTAAGGAAATTTCTAAATTTCATTTTTAAAGAGTGAAAAATAACCCCTGGAAATCATAATAATTTAGCTGAATACTGTATTACTTTTGGGGTTTTTCCATAAACCAAAGATTAATGCAGAGGTTAGACATTTCTGTTGACACAAAATTATTAATACAGTATTTTCCTACCAACCAACTCTAGCTGAAAGCAAAAGATATCCAGTATGTTGACTTTACTTAAGCTCTTGGTGCATGGAAGAAAATGGGTGTTACATGGGAAGGGAATCATTATTGGAACAAACAGAGGAAGTTATAAATCTTCATATCATATACAAGACAGATTGGAACAATATAAGCTCTCCAAGTTTTCTTAAATAATGTACCTAATAACTCTCTTTGGGCAAATAAGAAATCTGTTTTCAATTTCTTCTACTTCTAAGCAAAAATATAATTTATGTGAAAAGGAGATTTTTTTGTGGGAGTTTTAAATCAAAAATTAATGCAAGTATCTCATCAGAAATACTATTTGGAAACTAGGAGCTTTGTTGGAATCATTGCTCAGGACACTGTCTTGCACTATATAAGAACAGCAAAAAAAAAGAATAGATAACATCCAGCCCCAAATCAGAGCACTAAAATGAAACCATAGTGCAGATGCCTTCTGACACTTCCAAAAGGATCAGTCCTGATGCTCAAATGCAAGAGTATTTGACAGCTAAATGTTTTATTTTCACTGAAGCAGATTGCTATGAAACCCTACTGAATGAGAATCGTAATAGGATTGAATTATTGTACCAAATGCATCTGTTTTTAGCAGGAGGTTTTTGAAGTGGGTAACCTCTGGAGGTCTTTTCCAACCTAAATTATGTTGTAATCTTATGATCCTATGAAAATTTCTTCTGCAATAGAGTAATTTGTGTTGCACACTATCTTGCAGTTTTTCTCTTCAGTTAACCAGTATTTTTAAAATTTGAACTCTAATTAGTGACAGAAAAGAAACCATATGAAGTGAAATCTCCTAGGAAGGAAGTAAATTTTCTGCACACAAGTGTAGCACAAGAGCATTCAGGAAGAGGCCCTGCTAAAGCTAAAAGTGCAGAATCTGTAAAGAACACTCGTCTCTAAGAACAACGTAATTCTATTATTAAAAATACTGCATCAACTATGCAAATGAAAGTTCAATTTCTTAATTAGTAATGGATGGAAACATTTGAAGAAAATAATACCCAGAGTTTAAAATTAGTCATCTTAGAAAACTTTTACAGACTGTATGAGGAATAAAAATTAATATTTTTAGCTGTTATTTATCATTTTCTTGGGCCTTTGTGTTTTTCGATGCCAGATGGGTTTACACTCAGGAAAAGTGCTGAATACCACTAGACAGCTAGAACTTCCCAATATGTTAGCGTAACGTAGTGTATCAAACACAGTCTGTTCAGAATTTGGATCTAGTAAACTATTCAGGTTTTAAACGTCTCTTCAGAATCTGAACTTTCTTGAGGTTTTCCATTTACATGGATGAAGATTCATCCATTTGATGGGGAGTGAATCCTAGTGCTTGAAATCATATTTTACCCTTCTGTGTTGAAGGTTATTACCCTGACCTAGCTGTGTGTGCAATAGCACATGCACACGCAGTGCTGGCAGCTCAGGCAATTGACCACTAGGGAAACTGAGGAAGAGTGCTTCTCAAGGGGGGAATATAGGCATGGTTTCCTCTGGTACAGAGGCTGCTGCAAACTCTGCTAAGCTGCAAAGATCCCAGAGGAAACCTATTAAGGATGCCTTGCACCAAAAAAGGATGAGCTAATATATTTTATGTCTAGTTTTCTGATATTGTGCTTACCACCTCATAAAACAGAAAAGCTTTAACTTGGGGATTTTTGTCTTTTTAAGTGTTTACTGTCCTAGAACTCGGTGCTCTGTACCCCTACTGCACCAAAATCTTACTGAAGTCAAAGCAGACTCTGGATAGCTAGTTTAGCAATAAAAGTTCATTAGTATTGAGTCCTATGTTAAATATAAAACAACATGATCAGTGTCTCATATAAACGTATTCCTTGCCTGTTAAAAAGAATGAAACCATTGACATTTTTGCTTCTGTTTCTAAAATTACATCTGTGTCCTGGTGATGTCACTAAGAAATGCAAAAGGAGTGTTTGAGTTGATCATATTTCTAAATAAAGTTGGAAAACTCTGTGCTATGCTATTTAGAAAAGTGGAAATAGTAGATCAATATCGTAAGGTGTGCTGGACTGGCATAATAGCTTACTGTGTTTTGCTTTTCTAGTGACCATCTGAACTACTGCGAAAGTAACACTACATGATGGTGATATTATTGACTGTGTGATGCATATTACTGATATATTCTTTCTTCTGCATAATTATCCCTTTTCCAATGAGTTCTATGAACTTTTCACACAGATTTCATCAAGCATCAAATTATGAAACAAGAGTAGACTCCTATAATAGCCCATTACATAAGTAATCATTGCTGCCACCTATTATTTGTTGTTTCCAGCCAATGAGGTTTCTGCATTACTGAGTTTTCCACAGAACACTTGTGAATTAGGTGAGACTTGGATGGTCTGCTTCTTACCCTTGGAATTACTTTGCTTCACATTTGGCAGTTCAAGTGTCAAATAAGTTTGCGAAATTGTGTGTTCGTAGCATTTGTGCATAGACTATGTGCCTGTAATGAAGTGGACTTTCTGTTAGTTCGGGAATTGTACCTATACTGCCTTGTCCCTTTCCCTGACTTCTGTGAGCAATGGGGTAAATGGAGGTGTTGGCAATAGGCCTGTCAAAATCACCATCTGTCTTAAACCCATGTCAGTAATGCAAGCTGGCGTTGAGTTTATTCTATGTGGGTAATCGTGAGACAATGTAGGCTATTCTAATCACAGATTTTTTGGACTTTGCTTTACAATAATAAAGGAGCAAAGATCCATTAAGTCAGGAAGAGTGCAATTTCCTAGGCCTTTTCTTCAGCCTCTCAGAATGTAAGATGGAGAATTCAAGAATGTGCATGTAGGTATTATATCATGCTTCCATCTTACATGGTCGGATACATCTATTAATGGAAACATGGAGCAGTAGAAACCTTTGTGACCTCACAGTCAGTGCGAACTGATTTTTCTAAACAATCTATTGCAATGGTGCAATAAATAACGATTTCTTATTGTAAAGTTCTCTCCACGTAGGAGTTATGGTAAGAAAAAGATTTCTTTTTTTACTGCTTACGGCAATGCTTATGCAAGCATTTCTTTGCCTTCATTGGCATAAGTGTCTGCTTTCAACCATGGAAAAATACTGAATCATTTTAGGGAGGTTTGCTTTCTCATTAAGTCATAAACCAAAAATTTAAACAGTAAATCTCAGTAGAGGTAGTAAAGATGTGGAGAAAGATGTGTAAAATAAAGAAATAGGACTTTGAGAGGGACTGGTTAATACAATGTATAAACATATATATATATAAAAAAGTGATGCCACTTATTGTCAAGCGTGTAATACAACTTGGCCAAATGGTTTGTTAATAGTAGTCTTTACAAGTGAGAGTTTACATGTATTTGCAATTGCAAAGCACCTTTTGGAACTGCTGTTTTTCTTCTCTGACTTCATGGAATAGGATCTAGACAAACATCAAGAAGAGACTAATACTCCTTTTTAGGCCAATAAATTATAATTTCCTTCTTTGCTTTCTCGCTTGCTTGTTTTATCTTCTTTGCAAGATTAATTCTGATTTTTCTGTAACAGGCACATAGTTGTCTGTGGTCACATAACACTTGAAAGTGTGTCCAACTTCCTGAAGGACTTCCTGCACAAGGATAGGGATGATGTCAACGTAGAAATCGTCTTTCTGCATAAGTGAGTAATCTTTCAAGATTAGTCTTATTATCTGTTACTAAAACTCACTAAATTAAGCCATGTCTTTTTTTGGGGAAGACAGAGGCTCTTTCAAGCTCCAAATAACCATAAAATTAGTGTTCTCAATTGCTTTTGTTAACAATGTATTTTGAAAAAAGTGTTCTTTTCTGTGATTGTTTTATAACCTATTGCTAAGTATAGGTGCTTCAAGCAGACAGACTTCAGACCCAATCTCGTCAACTACATGGTTTGCTTGTTTCCCCTCTCTAAGTCATAACAAGGATTGACTGTCATAGGAAAGCAGAGATCTAGATTCCACAGTGAGAACACACGGTGATAGGAATCAGGAAGTATGCACAGGAATGGAGTTTAGCACCTGGCTACTTGTTTGTGCCTGCTTTCTTCTGTACCTTCACAGGCAAATATTTTCATCTTTCTGTTATTTTCTTATTAAATTTAGCATCGGGCATGGCAAAGATCTCATGCACTTACTATGTAGCTATTAAATCCCTTCTGTTTTAGTGAGTGGCATCAGAAAAGGTGTTTACAAGGTTGGTGCCACATTATATGGTAGATTGTGATCCATTTAATTTTTCCAGTTTATGGCAATATGAAATAAGACAGAAAGTCACAGCATAATTATGTTTGTTTTAATTCTGGCTAATACAGGCCACAGGATCCCTGCAGGGCTCCTTTTCTGACTTTTAGTGATTTTTGCATTGAGCTCTCTTACTTGATTCAGACAGCTGTTTTGAGAATGACGGGGACATGCAGAGGATGATTGTCTTACTAGACAATTTTGCAGAGAGAGCTGTGTGACATTGTTTTCAAATGTTTGCATCAATTATTCTGAATTCACGTCTGTGAGAAACTGAGCAATGATGAGCGTGCAGAGTAGCGCAATGGAGTGGGCCAGAAGCAAGGAAGTGAAAGCAGTATTGCATTTGTCTTTCAAGTACACTGCAGAGTTTCCACACCACAGGAAAAGCATCACCAGAAGTCTGAATACCTAAAATAAATAAATGGGTTAGTTTATAAATGAAGTAAGTGGGGCAGTTATGGAAACTGACTTCTCATTTGCTCTTGTATTTTCTTCTTTTTCCCAATGCAGTATCTCCCCTAACCTTGAGCTGGAAGCTCTTTTTAAACGACACTTCACTCAGGTGGAATTTTATCAGGGTTCAGTCCTTAATCCCCATGACCTGGCGAGAGTGAAGGTAACAGCTCTGTTCTGTTCTCCTGCTAATTGTCTTTTTTTTTTTTTTTTAAATACTCATTCCATTATTTGAAAAAAAAAAACCAAAAAACCAAAACAACCAAAATCCAGTAAAGCTCTTCTTCATGTAACCCCCAAAGATTGTTTTTCTATTTCTATTAGCTTGCCCAATCAATTATAATATCTATACTTATAAACCTTGTTTCCCTATATCTTTAGATCTTCAATACTACAGTAACACTGTGACTTAAGATACATTGTCTGCCATTCCATTGAACTCTATGAATTTTTCATTGGGGTTTAGTGCAAGAGTCTATTTTACGTTAATGTTTAATATAATAGAACATTGTCTTACAGTAATTGCTTAAAATGCTATTGTCTTACCTTCATCAGAACGATTAGAAAATAATTTTTCACCTGTCAAACCCTTTTTCTATTGTCTAGAATCCTGAGAAAAATAATACAATTTAAGATTTTTGGTAGCTAAAATGAGATGGTTTTATTATCTAGAATTCTCTGTGGTAACTTATTTTGTACTCTTAATGCAAAGCATTAAGCTTAAATGGAAAAAAAAAAAAAGATGGCAAGCTGTCAGATACAGCATTAACTCTTTTATGTTTCTTTTTTTCTTTTTTTTTTTTTTTTAACTGGAATGTAAACCAGATACTTAGCCAAGGATATTTTAACGCAACGTTAACACTTTTTTGAGTATTAATCTTGTATTTTGTCCATTTTGACTGCAGAAATTGCTTAACCTTTTGTAGCCCAACACACACTGTTTCGGTTCATCAGAACAAAGTGTTCCATGACCATAAAATTGTGTGTTAGTATTTTGTGTTCTTATTCCACCCTTTTTTGTGTTGGTATTTGGTTGTATACACTGAAAGATACTCCTGTTATCTGCTTTGAGCTAAATAGAGCTAAGGTTTGTGTGAACATAGAGTTCCTGTGGACAGATCAGTTCTCATGCTTTCTAAAACTGGTGCTCAGATTCTAAATCATCAGTTCAGCCACCTCTTCCTGTCTCTAATATTCTCTCTTAAATTCCAAAAAAAGGCTGCAGGACTTGTGGGAGCACTGTACTGATACAACAGGAACTTCCTATGGATTTAGGGGTTTAAATTTCAGTGTCTGGTTACAAAAGATATGTCCATTAACATCTTCATGCCTCAGCTGATACAGTATGAGTCAATAACTGAACTACTGACCTGGTCTGAGCATCATAAGCAAGTTTCAAGAAATTACTTTGTGTATATGAGAGCTGTTATCAACACTCATGTTAACCTACGTTAGTTTTGTAACATTTTTGATTCGCAGTATTAAGAACTCATGATGGCAGTGCTGGATTCCCTAGTACTTTATGATGAAAGAAGAGCTGGATAGAGAGGTTGCTATTCATGTTTGCTTTTTCTTTGGTGTCTCAGATAGAGTCAGCAGATGCGTGCCTAATCCTTGCCAATAAATACTGCGCTGACCCAGATGCTGAAGATGCCTCAAATATTATGAGGTAAAGTCATTAGTTTTTAATAGGTTTTTGGTTCTTAACTCTTGATTAACTAACTTCTGGTGTCCAAATAGTCTATAGCTACACACAGCTTTATTGCTTGTCTGTTGCATGTGAAGAACATTGCAGGATTTTTTTTAGAGGACAAATTACAAGATTGTCTCGAAAGTTCAGAGGTAAGAATACCCTAAATTCCTGCCTACACTGTTT